ATTCGTGAAACTTATTTTATAGATTTGAGGAGTTTAACAACATATTTTCTGCAAATATGTAAACGTTCCACATGGTTTTGTTACCATAATAGTGTCTTTTGCAAAACCTAACAGACTTAATTTTTGCTTTGAGATTGTATAATATCATAAAAAATAAGTGTGGCTTAAAGTAAGTCTCCTTTACTTTTCGTAAAAGAAAAAAAACGTTTGATAACACCTCAGATTACATTAGTTAACATGAACATAACAATGAAGATTGCTACTAAATCATTAATCAATCATAGATAATGTTAATTTCAACATTTACAAAGTTGTATCTGGTAATATTATTTAATGGACCTGAGTTGACATGAACTAAAAAAATATTTATCAAAGATTTTAGTAGGTTTTACAAATGAATACTCTAAGTTCTTGTACTTCACATTGAATTCAGTGTTACCTGCCATTTTGGTAACACTTTAATTTAGTATTATAGTAACATAACTATAATATGCGTAAAAAGAAGAAAGAAAATGTGAAGTGGTGTGTCAACTCACCACCCAGTTGCTAGGGTGTTTTGGGTGGTTGCTACGCAGTTGCTAGGTGGTTGCTAAGGTGATCTGGGTGGTTGCTAGGTGGTTGTTAGGGTATTCTGGGTGGTTACTAAGGTGTTGCTAGGCGGTTGCTAGGGTGTTCTGGGGGTTGCAGCGGTTGCTATGGTGTTCTGGGTGGTTGCTAGGGTGTTGCCAGTCGGTTGCTAGGGTGTTCTGGGTGGGTGCTAGATTGTTGCTAAGGTGTTCTAGGTGGTTGCTAGGGTATTCTGAGTGGTTGCTAAGGTGTTCTGGGCGGTTGCTAGGGTGTTGCGTGTTGTCACTATAGTAATAATAATTACTAATAATTATAATATACATAACTATACAACTAACCCTAAACTAAACCTCCCAACCCTATAGAAAATACATGTGGTTAATTATTTTTACCCAGTACTTAAATGTATAAATACACCGAAACAAAAATTTCTAAATACTGTAACAATTGTGATGCTCATTGAATGTTAACTAATGGAACTTTATTGTAAAGTGCTTCCAAACTTTTTAGGGTCACTGCACATTTACATTAATTTAGCAGATGCTTTGATCCGAACGCTTTTATAGTGAACAGAAGGTGGGCAAAATATGAGGCTATGTATTTTGTGGTTTTCTGAAGTGACCTTCAACTACAGTATAAGTTGAAATCTGCTTTTATAAACTCCAGTGTCCAGATTCATCATCTAAAACACATGACGTCGGTTATTTACAAATGTTCCTGCCTTTCATTCGCCCTTTAGGTGCAGACGAGCATTTGAAACATCTACATCTGTGTGTGTGTGTGTGTTTGTGTGAAACCTTCTGCTCACCCCCTACAGCGCTGATGAGAGCAGCGAAAGCAGAAACATGACGTCCGTTCCAGTCTTCTGGGAATAAAACAGTTCATCCTTAAGGAAGGACGGGTCACGAAGTCAGAGTGGCTTTAGCACTGCTTAGTAATGTGTGTATGCCTTTGCCCTTGAGTGTACCTACAGCCATGTGTGCATTTACATGCAGCGTCCTCATATACAGTAGAGAGTCACTGGAAACACACTTCAAACATTGAACCCCGTCAAGTGCACAAGCGCCTCTGGACATGGAGGGCTCTTGGTAACATAAGAGTAATCCAAGCTTATATTCAGCGCTAAAACACACCGGCCGCATGCCAATCAATCGTTCATCAGTTCACACACGTCTGTTCTGTCCTTAATATGAGCCCAGGGGCGTTTGTCTCCTTGAGCCGAGACTCTATAAGCAAAATGAGTCCAAACATCTCCACTTCACTTTTCTACACCTCTCAATAGCAAAACCGTGTCCATTGCATTTGCATATTACATATGAGATAGTATTTAAGTAATGGTCTGCTGTGGAAATGTCTCCATTAATCGATCAGTCAATTAATGCTTTTGAAAAGTGAAGGAATGACATTTCTGAAAGTCAATGGGAAGAGTGAGACCGCTCTTTCATCGCTCATGGTTCTCGGTTAAGTTTCGTCTCCTTTGTCTCGTTTGTTTCTCCCATATGAATCGTGAAGCTTTAGAAGCAACTGTTTGGTCTCAGAAGAATTTGGTTAATTTTCTTTTTGATGATAAAGTTCATTTTATAATTTTAGCATAAATTAGACTAACATAAGACTTTAACAAAAGATTCCAGTATATGTGCTCTAATTCATCTCATTGCTGTCTTGGAGACAATTGAGATATTAAAGAGATGTCATTTGTGATTTTTTTTTATTTATTTTTTTAAGTAATTTGGTAATTTTTCAGAATTAGATGGGAAATATTTGAGACTAATTGGAATTTTGGCACATCTGAACATTTTGGGATATTGTGAGACTATACAGGACTCTAATTGTTATTTCTTTAATTGTATTGCTGTCTTAGAGAATCGGTTGAGATTTAAATTTTCTTATGAGATACTCTGGTAATTTGGTCTCAGAAGAAGATACGAAATATTTAAGTAATATTGATGAAACTGACTTTCAATGCAGATTTTCAATGAGATGCCAAATTGAAAACTTCTGAGGCATTGTTGAGATCCCTTCATTTAAGAGTCAAATCTGAGAAGCTGGAGACCATTGAATTGCTCTATTGAATCTCATTGCTGTCTGAAGAATTGATAGATCTCATTTGTGTGTTTTCTCATGAGATATTTGGGCAATTTGGTCTTAAAAGCATTAAATGAAAGTAATGTGAGCAGATACTGGCGAATCTGGCTTTTCAATCCAGATTTTCAATGCAAGGTTGAAATATTGTTGAGATCTCTAAGAAAAACATGAGAACACTGAGATTTTACATACTTTACAAGAGATCTCTCTTGTGTTGTTTCCACTTAGATGAGAATTAGATGAGACATATCTGAGCTCATATCGAATAATCTGAATTTTTTGAATAATCAGATTTTCAATGCAAGTTTGAGATATTGTTGAGATCTCTTGGAGAAATATGAAAGACATCTGAGAAGCAGAAGACTGTACCTAATTGCTATATTTTAATCTCACTGCTGCCTGAGAATCGACTTAGATGTTAAAGAGATCTTATTTGGGATTGTTCTGCAAGCTTTGGTCTCAGAACAATTAGATGATAAGTGTTTTAGTTCGTATTGATGAATCTCACCTTTCAAAGCAGATTTTCAATGCAACGCAAATTTGAGAACAATTGGGACAATCACTCTTAGAAGAAATGGTTCAATTTAGAACCAGAAATGGTTCCATCCCCCGCTTCATATATGGAACTCCAAAATGGTTCTATAGACGCTTTCAGCAGTGACAACATAAACAAACGGTACTGCGCATGTGCATTAATCTGGCCCAAACTTAACTTCCGGCAGACTTGCGGAGACAATCCATAACAAGTAAATAACCTAGTAACTGGTATTTCTTGCCAGTCAAAGAAAATAAATGTTACCTGGCCAAACTGAAATGTGACACTACCAGACTCGTTGAACAAAAATTGGAGACAAGATGTTTTTCTACCGACGTGTCTGATTTACCGCAGTGTTAAAAAAACTGTGGCGAGCGCGACGGCGGAGTTTGATAAGGTTAACATAGCTACATGCTTGCTAACCTTTTTGGGTCTCCACATTGACAGCATGTTGGATGGATCTGTGCAGCGCTGTTTATGATACTAACCATTCAATACACAGACTGGTCCGCTGTCAAGTGTTTGCGAGAGAGAGAGAGAGCGTCCGAATATGCGCTGCACGCAACTCTGCAGTCAATTACAACTTTTCCCATCTTAAATTGTTAAAAACACGGAAATCAATATGTGGCGGTCAGCGCTGATAATGTGGTGGGCTGCCACTAATAAATGTATGGAAAACACTGTACCGGTTATCACTCAGATAAACATAGGCTATTTTAATACCGCCGTCTCCCTCATAGGAAACCTTGACATTTTTATTTTTAAAAATTGCATTTGCTCCCTAGGTCAGGTTGCACCCCACAGCTCAATAACCTGCTCATCACCTTAACTTTCACTGCATTTGTAGTCAATGCCGTATTATCCAGTAAACACTAATAAACGAACAGAACGGAAGTTAACTTTGGGCCAGCTCATCACCATGGCAACGTGTCTGATGAAACCGTCTATATAGAACTATTTTTTTTTTGGTAAAAGGTTCTATTGGCCAAGTATGGAACTCCAGGGTTCTATATAGAACCCAGAGGAACCCTTTTTTTTCAAGAGTGTATAGAACCTTTTAGGGGTTCCAAATATGTAGTGCTGATAGAACCTTTTCTTCAGAGTGATTGAGATCTCTAGAGGAGAAACATGAGATACTGGGGTATTTTTAAAACAATTCTTGAGATTTCTGGAGAAGGTATTTTATTTTAGTAGAAGAATCTGAGAAGAGGGAGACTAATTGCTCTGTATTTGATCTCTCTGCTTTCTATCAGTTGATTGATATGTTAAAGAGATCTGTCTTGTGTTGTTTCCACTTGGGTTATTTGGGTCTCAGAAGAATGAGACACATTTGAGCTCATATCTGTAACATCGTGGCCAGGAATAAAGCGGAGAGTGAATCCAAACGCAAGGACTTTAATAAAATAAAAACAGATAATCCAACAAAGAAACTCAGAACAAAGCAACAACGACCGACAACCATCAACTGAAGCAGGTTTAAATACACGGACAAACAAGCTAGCCTAAATGAGATAACAAGTGGGCGGGGCTAATTAGAAACACCTGGAGAGACTCATCAACAAGAAAAACCTGACTTTTCAATGCAAGTTTGAGACACTCTTAGAGAAATATTGACATCCGAGAAGCAGAAGACTGTAATTTTATCACTGCTTTTTATCAATTGATATTAGGTCTCATTTGTGTTGTTTCATGATTTATTCGGTTCTCAGAAGAATTGAATTGACGTCACATCGAATATGTGACTTTTTCAATGCACACAGTTTGAGACATTGCTGAGATCTATCGGGGAGAAACATGAGAACATTTCTAAAAAGCAGGAGAGTGCTTTATATTGAATCGCACTGCCGTCCAGGAGAATCTCTGAGCGCTTACAGAGATCTCATTGCTATTTTTTCTTTCCTATGGGATGTCCAGTCATTGCAACACCCCCGTGTTTACCGTGTAGTGCAGCGCATGTTCACATTCATCCAGTGGTTGGTTTGGGATCCGGTCGCGTCCTTCTCCCGCATCATCATCATCCTCATCATCAGCAGCAGCAGAGCTCGTCATGAAACCCGTCTTCCTCGTTCAGTGATGTGATGTGCGCTCGCCGTTTGTCATAATCATCATCTTCATCAGGAGCGGACAGACAGTAGCGGATTCTCTGCTCAGCTTCTCTAGAGGATGTACCGTGTTACCGGAGGGAAACGGAGGAGAGTCTAACCGGGGGCCCTTCCGTGATAAAACAAACGAGGACGGAGAGGATCGACGCGGATTTTTGCCTGGATCTGTGCGGTGAGTGAACCTGACATCAACACTGACATGCTAAACGTGCGCCGAAATAAACGACTGTCATGCACGTAGGAACAGGGGCGAGCTTCATACAGCTGTCAAACAAACATGCATGTAAATTTCTGCTGCATCGGGTCTGCTGACGCATTTTGCAGTTGTCTGTGTGCCAGGGGCCAAATCTGGGGCTCAATTCAGTGTGTTTGTTTCTCCCGGTGCTAAAGTTGTTGTTTTTTAGTATGCTTTTTTTTTTTTTTTTAGTATTCACATAAATGCAACATATGCTTGGAGATCTTCAATGACATCTTTGACAAGGCTGTTTGTTCGTCAAAGTTGTTTAATTCCATTATTTGCATGACAAATGGTCATATCTAATATAGCACAGCATAAATAACTAGATTTGTATGTCTGAAATGCATTTATTTGTTACTGTAAGAGATGCTGAGATGTTTGTTGTCATGGTAGTAATGTAAATGGTCAGTTTTTTTTAATAAGGAACCAGAGATATTTCTGAAGCATCACTGATTTAGTCTCCTTTTTCACTATTAAGTCTAATACACTATTGCTTGAGCGTCCTTAATGCATTTTAAGTGATCTGCATAATAATTTGTATAGGCTACACATTCGAGATGTGTCATGAGCAGTTGTTTCTACCTGAGCTGACGCTTAAAATGACTTCGCTTGATTTCTAAGGGTCTTTCATTCATAAATTATGTTTACTGAATGAAAACCAGGTATAGAAATTGAAGTTATAATGTCTGGCTGTGTTTGTCTGCAGTGTGTCTGAAACGCATCGTTAACCCTTTGAGTTAATTGTCTACTGACAGAGACTGTTGTCATGGTATCACAGTAAACAGACAGTTCCTTTCATAACACACTAATCAACTTATTTTTGTTGATACTGTTACTGTAAGAGATACTGGTATTTGGTTGTCATGTATCAAAGTAAAAGGCAGAGCAGAGATTCAGAGGATGACAAGATCCAAAATCACCTGTGAATATAGCCTACTTAAAGGGATTCATTCACCCAAATATGAAGACACTGTCATCATTCTGTCATACTTGCCCAACAAAAGAAGCCTGTTAAGCTCCAAAAATAACAAAACCGTATTATAAAAGTACATAACATGCACTCAAAAAAAGCATTTCAATTATACATATAATATTATTTGGATTATACCATTTAAATATAAAATGACAGTCATACACACTGTAATAAAATATTGTTGGTTTAACTTAAAAAAAAATGAAGTAACCTGTCTGCCTTAAAAATTTAAGTTCATTGAAATGGAAAAATTGAGTTAATACAGTGAAGGAGATTGATTTAGTCATCAGAAACTCAAAATATTATGTTATCTGAACTACATAAATTATCTAAGTTGATTTGACAAAAGAAATAATGTTGTGATCACAAATCATGAAAATATATATTTTTTTACAGTGTGTTTAACCAGGTTTATCATCAATAAATCAAATTAGTTTGTCTCATCACTGTAAAAAAATATGTAATCACAACATTTTTTTCTATTTTGTCAAATCAACTTAAATAATTTATGTGGTTCAGATAACGTCATATTTTGAGTTTCTGATCATTGAGTTAACTCAATTTTTCCATTTTAATGAACTTAAAATTTTAGGGCAACCAGGTTACTTCATTTTTTACCAAATGTTAAACCAACAATATTTTTTACAGTCTTAAAATATCTGATTATTGCTTGTTCCACAGCAGTAGCCATAGGCTACGTTAAAGGGTGCCATGTGCGTTGGATATTTACGCTTTTGCAAAAGCGTCCTATATGGCGCTTTGGGATGAGAACGCGTTGGCTATTTGTTCATATTTTTTTTTATTTCTTAAAAATAAACAGATAAATGGATTTTGCTTTTAATTGAAGAACTTAAATGTATGTCTGCTTGGAAAAATCTGTGTTTTCTTCCTTTGTTTGCACATGTTTACAACATTAAGGTGAGTGAATAATGACTATGACCAACCCTTCATTAGTATTATTCCCTCAATCTCACAGCCATTTTCATAGTTTTTTTTTTTTTAACTGGCCTCCAGGGTGTTTTTCCCGCTCGAGAGACACAACCGTGATAGATTCTCTTTCTGTAGCTAAACTGTAAGCGAAAAGCAGTCAGCGATTGATCCCAGGGTCCCACAGCTGCCTGATTTAACACATAGTTTAGGGCACTGTTCTCCCGCAGATGTTCCAGCTGCGACCGGTTCTCTCTGCAGGTATTTGACGGGTGAGGGTCCCGGTTGGACGGGACCTAATTAAAAGCCCGTTGTAGTGGTGGGGGGTTTGATTGATTGCGTTTTTGGGTGTTGTGGCAAATCTAAAGAGCGCGCGGTGGGTGTCGCTCAGCTCAGCGAAGGGCTTGCAAGCATAAATCAGCATTTAAAACAAACATTGCCGTTCATCTCAATTAGAGGAAGCGCGGTGGGTCACGGGCAGGTTCAGTCAAACGCGTCCACGGATCTGAGCTCGCGCAGCCGCAGGCGGATGACCCTGTGTGTGTCTCTCCGACACGCAGCCATTAGACAGCAGGCGCTTTTAATGAAACACTTTAAACGTGCGATGTCAACAGGGATTTATCCTTTGGCTGTGATGCGGGATGAAGCTCAAACAGTGGATCCAAAATCAACCTTTCTCACACATGCCAATGCCATGTGGATTGAGAAATTTACTAGCCTGCATGTAGGCTAGTATTTCTTACCAGCATGACTTTATTGTCATTTTTTTATATATATATATTGACAATGGCGTCTTTTATGTTCACCACCATTTGATCATAAATAGGCTACAGAAAAAAAACGTAATATTTTAAAATATTATTACAATTCAAAATAAGCATTTTCTATGTAAATATATAGTAAAATGTAATTTATTCCTGTGTTCAAAGCTGAGTTTTAAGCATCATTACTCCAGTATTCAGTGTCACATGATGCATCATAAATCACTCTAATATGATGATTTGCTGATTATGTTCAATGTTGAAAACAGTTGCTGCTTCATATTTTTGTGGAAACCATGTATATTTGATTGAAAAGAACAGCATTTATTTGAAATAGAAATCTTTTGTAACATCATGTCACCTTTGATTGGTTTATTTTATTTTATTTAGTATGGTTTGCTTGTCTTGTGTTTAATTGGCACTCCAGTTACACAAGTGAGGATCAGTCTATCATTCTTACAGTTCAGTTTAAGCCGTATACAATGTTGCCAACAGTCGAGTAGCTGTTTAATGTATTTGCCAAGGCCACTTTTACTTGTGTTTTCACTTGGCAAGTGTTCTAGACCCTGCGTTCAAAGCATTGAAAGAAACAGCACATGAACGTTTTGCTGTTAGTATTGCATTGTTTAGGCAAAGCTGCATTACTAGGCCACAGGAAATCCAACCACAAGGTAAATTATTTAAACTTTATAGTTACTAATTAGTAAACTAATTATTAAAAACTAAATAGTTTTGATCTAGCTAATAGGGACTTTCGATTGAAATTCTTGTTAAACTGGTCTAAACTGACTTACTGTTCTAAAGAAAGGTGATGTAATTCTCATTTTTCTGGTTTAAAGCAGGCTGGATAGGCAGATAAACTGAAGATTCAGGTACATGTTGAGAGTTTAAATGTCTAATGTCTGTTATAGCACCCCTTGTGGCCCCTTAAGGATGCATATATTATTTGCATTGCACTATGAATTGCTTTCTGACATTTCAGATCATGATGCGTAAAATTGAACTTGCAGCTGATAGTGTCAATATACTTCTCTTGTCATTCGTATTTTGATCTGTATTAAGGAAACTAGCTTTGCATTTGATGCAATAGGGGGAAAAAATCAATGCAAGCACAACAAAGCAGTGTGAATCTCTGTGTATGTGTGCATTGTATGCATAATGGCATCCGTTTCTCTGGAAGTCGAGTCATTTTGACATGCAAGACAACTGAGTTTGTTGTGTTGCGCAAAGCATATATTGCAGTGCAGAGAAGCAATAAAGCTTGTTTTTATTAGCTTTTTCTTCTTCAGTGGGTTTTGTGCTTACATCGACATACGTTCATGTCTTTTTAATGGAGTTTTACTGTTGTTGTTTAGCATGCAAATACTGTCTAACACCGCTCTTATGCCCATACACTTGCAGTCAGCATCAATCTGTTGCCCAATCAGAAAGACCCAGCCCTGTGACGTTGTTTTTACTGTATATTGTCTCTCAGAGGAACACAGCTGTAGATTTGCTTCATTGATGTCTGCCTGCTGTGATTATCAGGTGTAATAAAGGACCTCATACGCAAGTGTCAGGAGTGATTGATTATTTACATCAGAGAAATGGCCCGTGAAATGGTGAAGTAACAGCAGCTTTTGTGTTGGCCGGTGTTTGGATGCGTGTCTTTCTTATCATAAATGAAATTAGTAATGAAATGTATACATGCACTTGTTTATTGTCTAAAATGGCACGTTTTAATCTGATTTTGACGTATAAGAAACAAAGGATGGCTGATAGTTTTTAAATGTGATCTGTGTAGACAGTTATTGTACATTGTCCAAAGTCAGGCTACGCATGACTAGATGCAGTTTGATAAACACGCTCTTTTTACACATCTACAGTCTATTTGGAGAGTCATCTCAATACTCAAAGTGACTTCATGCCAAGACCAGGAACGGATGCGGCTAATTGGAAGATTTACCAAAGGTGGCAAGGAGACGCGGGCAAAATGTCTGTTGTAACCTTTGTAGAGACAAAAAACATGATCTATGCGACGTGAAAATGCTAAAATAACCATTGGCGAAGTCGTACATTAATAGCCGAGGAGCCTTCGAGCAGTTATTTTCACATTCATTGTTGTTTTAAGACATCATCTCCACAGGCTATTCACTCGAGTTATTATAACAATAACATAAATCCTTGGGTGTTAAGCACGTTACTTTATTAAAGACTGAATATTGCATCTAATATAATTATATCCACATAATGTCGTTATAAATAAATTTTATTGAGTGTACAAATATAATTCC